ACAGTGCAGTAAGTAATGCAGAGGAGTCATCATTTGGTAACCGTGCATGCATTCTTCACGGAAATACCTACTGGGTGACAAATGCATCCGAGGCGTGTGTCCTAAAGACTGACGAATAAAACGAATTGCAGTAATTATGTACTTTGGGGAAATGATGGGACGGCAATTGTATTTTTTTATTACTGTTCAAGTATTTTTCTTTACAAAAAATATTTGATGAAGTTTTATGAACCTTATTCATTATTACGTATTTTCTAAAAGTAGGTCACCAGGTAATTAATTAATTAATTAATGTGACAATTGATTGAAATATGGCCATGTGATACCTCATTAATTCATTCAACAACTGAAAATGTCAGAAAAAAGATTTGATAACTTCTTATCTATGTTAGTTTCGCCCACTAGACAGTTCTAGAGGAAAAACTGTCATTCCTCAGTCAGAGTTGGTAATATTGAACCTTTTCATACATGGGATTTTTGAGAGTACTACTGAAAACGTTTTTTGAATAATTTTCAAATCGCATCTAATGTGTTTTCGTGCTCAATACAAAGATAAAAAAATATAGAAAATGTGTTTGAACTCCTGTTAACATTCCAAATTGAGGCTACGTTCTCTGGAAGAAGGAGTACCGAGACCAAAAAAGACACGACAGTGTATCAAGAGTTTTTGCCACATGGTTGTACGGTCAATAAGAAGTATTACCTTGCGAGAAGCAATACAAAGAAAAAGTCCAGTATTGTGGAAAACAATTCATGGCTTTTGCATCACAATAATGCAACTGCCGATTCGTCACTGCTCGTGTCTCAGCCACCGTTTTAACCAGATTTGCACCCCTGCGATCTTTTTCTGTTACCAAGATTGAAGACACCCATAAATGGACGGCATTTTGCGACGATTGCGTAGATTACCTTATACACCATGGATTACAGACAATGTGAAGTTTATGATGAAAATAAGAGATAAAGCCAGTAACAAATTCAAAAATACCGATAAAGCTGAAGATTGGAATTATTACAAAACTCTTAGAAACTTCACTAAATCTTCTATGGAGCGAGAAAAGAAGGCTTATCTAGATTCATCGCCTCTAATAATAACCATAATAACTCTAGAAATTTATGGTTGAAACTAAAAAAAACTCGATATTCACAATAAAAAACCTATATTGAATCTTTCTAACAACATGAATGATTTTTTTATTGCTTCGCAACAACGGTGTAATAAGGTTGACCCAAATCTGGAACAATTTTACAGTAATAATGTGAATGATTCTATCACATCATTTCTTGAATTGACATTGAGTGTTTTCATTCATTTCATTNCACTCCTCAAGTTGGTACCATTATTTTAACATGACACTTGACACATTCTGTCTCAAGTTGTCCTTCTTCATAAGATACTTTGACTGAACCACATGGCCTGAATCCAAAAATGTATTTTCTTGGCTATAAGCCTATTTTGTTTTATATAATTCAAATATTACAATGTACAATTCACTTATCTTGATACTTCCTGTTGCCTGACAAGTAAGTAATCTCAAACAATTTTTCCAAATTTCTTAACCTTAAAAAAATTTACAACTTCAATTTCACTAAATTCCCTTTTCAACTAGATCACTTACTTTCAGGTGAGCACTGATGATGGCGAAAGTTGAAAGCGCTTTGCAAGAATTTTAAAATATTATACACTTTAATACAAAACCTCTTCGATTCATTAATTCAAATAAGTGTATTCAGCTTTTCCAAATCCTTTTAAAATATAAATTTATTTTTTGAAAAGCATTAAAATTCACCCTATTTTCAAATAGAGAACGTGGTTGAAGTTTAAATATGAACCAGAGTAATACAAAAGGTATCGATTAGCATAAAAATTTTAATCAACTTCCACTTTTAAGTTTACTCTGTACCAAGAATCAAAAATGGTTCGTTGAAAATAAGTCAGGAAATTGATAGATTGACTGATTCTAGGCAATTTTTTTTCCATGAACTTTTCGACATATTCGCGGGTGAAAGTGTCAGGAACTCAACAAACATTTCATTGAATAAATAATTTGTAGCAAAAATAAAGCTTATAGATTAAAAAAAAATGGTGTAAATGCTCGTTGAATGTTGGTTCTTATTCTTCAAACAATATAATTGAAAATTTCATCGTAAAATTATCTAAAAACAGTACATTTTTCGTGGAAAATTCGTAGCCCTATTTTGAAATGCTTGAAAATAACTTCAACATTGAAAATAAGTGATGAAAACACTGTTGCTCCCTATTTTTTGGTGACCAAATCCTAACATAACAGTCCACCATGGACATTGGTATTTTCAAAATGCCTGCAGCGTCTACACACTACTGATATCTTCAGAAAATGGAAACATTCTGCGTCTGCGGTGGAAAACATCGTACACAATGCGCAAATAATGATGCAGCAATGGCTCGTTACTGAAAACAACAACAGGCAAATTACCGATAATTTCAATGATGGCCAGAATCGACTTACAATTATGAATCAAATACGTATCAATACTATAGTAATTTTACAATTTTTCAAGATATTGAGACGAAACTAAACTGCCATTTCAGTTATCTAATTGTCAGATATCTTTAACGAACTTAGAATTTGTTCCTCGTTATCGTTTGCGTAATTCTGAAACTTTGTGACCGTACCGCCAGAAATAAAAATGAAATTGAAATTACACTCTCAATGATCTTGAATAATACTAATAAAAACAACTCTTACTCAATATGCAATACAATTCTCAGTGAACTTCTATTGGCAATGATTGTTGATTGCAAACTGGATTACGGCAATCGTGTACCGTAATGTGTGTGCAATGTCAGCCACTGTTTGTCGAGATAAAAAACATCAAGCGTTCGTCGTATGCGTTTCCTGGCTAGGGTTACATACCAAATGTCGCACATAGTGAGGTTCCAAGAAGCTTTAAACGTCTTCATCCGCCTGCTGCTCCAGAAGAATTAGGAATTTGAAAATATCGCTATTGACATACTCTGATAATCAATAATTACACACACATTTTTTTTTTGAATAAATGCTTATGTTTTTAAATAGTTTATCTTGTGAAAAAGAAGGCTGAAAACTTGCCCTTTTCTGAACTTTGAAGGGCCGTAACTTGATAAATAAGGGGGAGTGCCGCTTTTTTCTTTCGGATTCGTAATCTACATATCAAAATACGTAAGTAGACCCAAAAAATTTTTTCAAAATTGCCGGGTGCCCTCAAAACAAATATTTACCAAAAATTTTTCAACGATTTTATAGAATTCGTATTTTTTGAGCACTGTATAATAATTATACAGAACTCAAAGAATGATTGTTAGTTAACAAAAAACGTGAATAGATATTCATTGAGATAGGTGTATGTATGTATGTAGTTTTTCTCTGGTGACTTTCAAAATAATAATCGCAAGGAAAGTGGTTTTTCTCGAAATTAAGAATCCAAAGAAATGTTCGTGTACGATACTTAGAACCCCAAACCATTATGACAAACAATGGTAATGAAATGGTATACCTTATCCAAATCAAATCATTATTGAAATTACAAAAACTTATTATCGTTCGGTCATTCAAGAATTGTCTTCATCCGCCTGCTGCTCCAGAAGAATTAGGAATTTGAAAATATCGCTATTGACATACTCTGATAATCAATAATTACACACACATTTTTTTTGTAATCTGATATCATTCGAGACTATCAAAAAGAAAAGTAATTTGAAGTGGTAATGTTTTTTTGGTGAATGTTTCAAGTTCGGATTTTCAATTATCTAAAGGTGTCAAAAGACTTGAGATCATTCGCATGAGAATGCTCAGATATTCAGTATTATTAATATCTTCAATCGTATTTAAGTTAGTAATGTTGAGTTTGATTGTTCATGCTGTATATTCAGTGTTTCCGACTGACTCCATGATTTCTGTTCTTCCTGGAAATAAAAATGCAATTTCAAATACAATTTTTGTAATATGACTTGCTACAAATGTAAATTACATGAACGTTGTCAAATAAAGTATGTCTATGTCTATGGAAGAAAAAATAAAAATGAATATTCTGGCGATATCTTAAATTTATTGGAGTCTCTGGAGACACCATACATTTTATTCTATGAAAGAGAGGACATTGGCAGATCAAGATCTTCAAATGAGGAGGTGCTGCAGGTTTTTGCGGGTTTTCCTGCAGCTGAAAAAGCAAATACGTCACTGGAATCAATCAAGTCGCCCCGAAGCGCTACAGAGGCAACACACACTGTCTTCCGAAAGTCCGAGTCTCTGCATATGATGATTCAGATCACAGTGACCTGTGAGAAGGCCTGTTGGACATCGTAGTTCATTCCTACTGTAGTCCAACAACTGTTTGGTATCAAGCTTCGAAGGGTGAGCCAATCCTGGAAGATTCTGCCAAAAGTCCATGAATCTTGCCGTTCAATGTTTGTTTGGCAAAGCCTAGAGCGATGCCAATAACAGGTCCTGCTCCGATGAAGCTGCTTGCAGCACCTTCCTTTGCAAAGGAATCGGCAGCCTCATTGCCTTCCAGGCCAGTATGGCCAGGAATCCAGACCAGAAACAATCTGTTGAGTCTTCCTATCGAGGAGAGTCGTTTTTGGTAATTTGCTACCAATTTACACGTTGCTCGGCAGGAACCAAGAGCTTCTAACACCCCTTGTCCTAGAATTTCTTTATTGAATTGTGTATGAGGTTGGATTCTTCCAATCTCTCCGCATACAATTCAATAGCATAAATTTCCGATTGGAATACAGTTGCATAGGTTCCTAGGCAGAGTTGATGTCCCTGTCCTGGATCTGCGACTGAAAACACCTGCACCAGAACCTGAAGGTATTTTTGATCTATCTGTGAACCAACAACTATATACTCCTAGTATTTTCTGCTCCTAGAGAAACCAGTCCTCTCTACTTGGAAACAGTACTTCATACGGCAGTTCCTAGTTGACAGTTTGAAGCATAAAGTCAGAGGTCATTCCCAGTGTCCAGTGTCAACCAGTCTGTTGTATTCTGCATTAGCTGATTTGTGTAATTGGCAATGTGCACAAGTCTATATGCCAGACAAGCCTGTCAGCTCTGCTTCGCCTGAGCTGTTTTCTGTAAAGATTTCAAACGAAGTTACGTCATGAGGTTTAAATTGTTAGTATCCACAATCTGTATTGGTTAATAATTGTAATATTTGCATACTTTCCATACATACATGAATTCCATACATAAATTTCAATGTTTCAAGTTCAAACTTTTAACAATTTGGATCATGCAAAACAGTAAAAATGTTAAACTGTCCTGAATTGATAGCACAACAAATGTTATACAAATATATTATTCACAAGCGACTCTTCCTGACGCGCATTCCAAATAATTGATATAGGTGAATTATTGTTGTCTTGTTTTAATTATTACAACATTCGTTTAGGTATTCAATTTTGTTACAAAACTTGATTCATCATATATTTTTTGATTACTTCCATTTTCTGTTGTAGCTAATGATGAAAGCTATTTCTGAAAGTCCCAATATTCAATCTGAATACATCAAAATAGAAACACATTCATCCCTTGGTATTTATATCTGGAAAAATTAGGTCTACTATCGTTAAAAATTAACATACAGTGCCTAATCATATATCGTATCAAATCTAAGTCTATGTAAAGTAACTCAGGTAATCATCTGTCCCCATTCCAAATTTACTCACGATCAAATTTGTCGTCAAAAATGACAGTAGGTTTATTAAAACTATCTATTATTGCGGTCTCAAATTGAAACCATTCAATAGTTTCTGACCTGAATGCATTGTTATATTGAGGTAGAAAAAAAATTATTCGAGAAATAGTGAATTCTGCGAGTTATTATTTGACTTCTGGATCCTCCTCAACTTTGTACGAAATTGAATATAATCTTGCACTATGTCACTTGAGAAGCTCTCTCTCATGATTCGTTTATCCCGCATAATGTATTATAAAAATTACCGTTAGAAGTCCATGCATTAATCGACTAATTTTCATGGAGTAATTTTAATTTATGATCATGTTTTATTGAGTCATCCTGCTAACTCTATGGAGATCTTTGTAACAAACCCGAGTTCTGCTGAATTTGGTAAAGAAAATGAAGCGTTCCACTCTATGATTTATGTCTACCATGTGCATTACGATTGCCGTCATATTTTAATCAGTACTATTACACTCCTTGTTCTTGAAATTTTAATTGATTTACTCAGAACGTTTTGGAGATGCCGTTCTGGATGATTTTGTATATCTGTTCCTGTATATGCAATTGGCAATATTGCATATGCCATGTGTCAGTCTATTCAACCTACTGTGTAGGTATATCCGAGACTGGCTTGAACATTCAAAGTGCTTGTCTTTAGATTTGTTTACTGCCTGTCTTCAAGCATAGCTCACTGGCTAATAAGAAAATTTTTCTTCCTTATTCAGAGGAATCGGGCAAATTCTAATATGCAGCTGGTTAGTACCTCGTCCACTAGATGGAGTGACATTTTTGTTGTTCGCTCTAACTTGAGACGAGGAATGAAATACTCTGAAAGAATTTTCAATTATGGAATATCATTGACTTTAGGTCGATGATGGTCACTATATTGCACTGACGAGTGGCTAAGGAGCCCGAAACCGGTCTGCAAGTGTGCCCATTCCAAAATTGAAGGTCGACTCTTTCAGTTGTATTGCCAATCGCATATGCAGGAAATTTTTTGTGAAGATTCCTGCACTGACGCCTGTCAGATGTAGTCCAACGCCGTTCGTGGTATTAGCCAGTGGAGTAGTTGTTTTCTGATAGGAGTCAGTCCATTTAACCTACTGTGTAGAGACTGGCATGAACATTTGAAGTTCATTTCTTTAGAATTTCTCACTTTTGAACATGAGCTACGATTCTTCTGGATATATTGTTGTCTTGCTGAAAAATATGCTTTATGGGTTACATAGCAGCCACGGAAGCAGCCTGGGTTGTTGTATGTCACCATGTAAAAACTATATATAAAAGTTACTTGAAATTGAGTCGAGATATTTGGTAATAACATCGAAAGTTACAATTTGGTAAACTGTCAAGAGATAAAATGGGAAGTTCATTTCAATTGTGTTGTCTTCATTGAAGTTTAATTACTTTATTTCAGCGTGTACAAGTACTTAGGGTTGTGTTTAAACATTTTTCATTGCTATTATGAATGTGTTACTTGTTACTTGTTGAAAATCAATAACAATAATATTTAAAATGAAATTAAAACAGTTTGTTCCGAAAAAAATCCTATACTTTTTTGAAAACTTGTAAAGAGACTCTGGTACCCCATTGTACCCTTCACAAAAGTAATTCTAATTTTACTGACTAGGAGTCGGATTTTTAATAAACATAATAAATGTATGAAATCGATACCTAGTTAAAAATAAAATATGATACCAGTTTTGGTTTTACACACCAATCTGCCTTGAATAAGTAATTGAGTGACATTCAAGCACTTGAACCTAATTTCATAAACTTTCTCCTCATTAATGCGAAATTCATGAAGAATACTTCCATGATTTATACCTTTCAACCCGTTCTGAAGAATTCCACGAGATTTCGTATACAATTTAGTACCTGCTATGCTAGTTCTGAAATTATTGAAAGATGTTTCTTAAGCCAATGCAAAATTAATCTTCTTTTTATAACAGTAGAACGGACTATTGTGAACTCGAAATAATGAATGACGAAAGTATACTTTTCAAATATCGTAACAGTTACTTCTTTATGCTCTTAGTATAATATTAACAATTTTGTCAGTCATAAATCATGAATCTGGCGTAAATTTCAAGTCATTAATTGAAATGTATCTAGTTCAATATTTTGT